ACTTAAAAAATATGCTTGGAATCACAAAAGGAACTAATTTTTGTAGGAAATAAATGGTTTAACATTTTTTTTTGAGTTTCTTTGTAACTTTGTCCAATGTGCAGTGGAATTTATTTCAGACTGAAAAGATTTGTATGTTTAAAGTCTGTTTCATGATTGGTAGATGTTTTGATGTTTTGCATAAAGAAATTACTTTTGAAAATGGCTTTTTTAATTATGGGATATTACTCTACTGAGATTTGTAACCTTTTGAATTTATAAAAAAAAGAAAGAAGCACTGCATTAATGTATATTTATTATTTGGTCTCCTAATAAAATGGGGGAAAATGCAGTAATTTAAATCAAGTAATCTTTCTATCTAAAAGTGAATAAAAAAAAAAAAAAAAAATAGGTTGGTTGAAAATGTTTTAAGAAAACTGGAATAGTTTAGCAGATCATTGATCCAATTGGTATCTCTATCTATAAAAGGATGTGATGTGTGTGTGTGTGTGTGTGTGTGTGTGTGTGTGTGTGTGTAACGAATGCACGGCCACAATTTTCCACAGATTTGCACCAAAATTTACATGCACATGCTCCAAGTTAGCAGGAAGGCCAAGACCAACTTTGCATTTCCCAACTCACATCGATAGTGGAAATAATCGATTTTTTTTTTTTTTTTTTTTCATGCTTTTATGGCAGTTTTCATGTAGTTTGCAGCCATTTTCTACTGGCCAGAGTGAGAGCCAATAGCTGGCTGCCACAAATAGGCAGGAAGATCCTATTGGCCAGTGTGAGAGCCAACAGCTGACTGACATGAATGTTAACTAGCATGCAAAAACATCGATTAGCTGCATTTGTCACAAATGGGAAAAATTAAAATTTGCATAGCACTTTACTCCAATTGGCTCATTCGCTTGCTTAAACTCAACGTTGATTCTGATTCCGCAGAACTGGGTTGGGTGTGAAAAAGTATTTGTTGTTAACATTCTTTTTTCATTCGGTTTTTCCAGTTACAAGTCCTTTTTTAAAGCTGATTTGTTTTGTGTTCATTTTGTTCTTTTTTCGTAACAGATTTAATGTTTAGTATAGATCTTAGAAAATCTCTGCAGTGTAAGATAGGCAAGAAGGCATGTAGCAACATCAGCATGGCAAAGGAAGGGCAAAAATATTTAAAGGCAAGGAAGGGCAAAAATATTTTAAGTCAAGTGATAGCGACTGCTGTATGAGTCGTACGATTTTTGAATCAAGCATGGGTAACGCCGGGCCATGCTGCTAGTCTGCACATATACAGCTCTTTTTCTAATGCCATTTTCTTTTTCTTGGAGTAGATTTCCTCTTTTCTTATGGATTGTACACACAAAGGCTGAAGAATGGATCAGCCCAAAAGTTCTGTTAACATCAACTAAATGAAGGAAGAGTTAAATTGAATAAAAACAAAACTGCAATATTAATAACTCTCATACAGTTACAAAAATTTGGATTTGATATATCGAAATGGAATTTATTTTTGGTTTGGAAACCCAAAGCACTTAAGGTTGAGATATTACTAAGCAATTGTGTGTGAAAAGACAGGTGAAATTTTTGGACACACATGAAGGAGGGCTTGGAGAATTTGACACTAACCGGAAATATCAAAAGCAAATGAGACAGAGGGAAGTAGCAAGCCACCTACCTGACAAGCTTACGTGAATGGGCGGTGGAACAAGGGGGTGGAAAGGATGATAAAAATACTAAGAGCTACAAAAGGTAGCAAGTTGTAGAGAGCCATGATCACCCACATCCTAAAAAGGGACATAGTGTGAGTTATTGATTGATTTTTTTTTTTTTTTTTTTTTTTACAAGGAAATGAACTGTTTACAAATGACTCCTGGGGTGAATAGCTTTCACAATGTTTGAGTGATACCTTTGAGCTTATCACAATTTTACCTCTTTTTTTTTTTTTTTTTTTTTTTTTTAAGCAATAAGAATGGATTTTTCAATATATTTTCAGCATTTTGCCATTGACTATTTTCCATTGACTGATGTGATATCAATAACATGAATTGATATACATTTGGTATGAAGTGTTCTTCAGCAACTCAACATATGTTCTTAGTGTATTTATTTATCTCTTAAATGATCATTCTTGTTTCTTATCTGATTTTGGTTGGCATTCTTATCTTCCTCAAGTATAGATTTCATTAAGTAATCTTTTATTAGTTTTAAATAGAAGCTTTATTTGATTGGTCGAGATATGATGTTCTTGTCATTGTTCATCCTGTGTCCTTGCAAGGGATTTTTAAACCTTTTTCTAAAGGTTTGTGGAAGAGTTTGGAGGATACACTGGTTGAAATGTAATAAAAATAAAAAATGGAAATTTTTTTTTCTTTTTTTTTTTTTTTTAAAGGATGATGTTTCTTATCAGATTTTCAGTGGCGGTGCTTTTGTTGAGCAATTCTATTTTGCATAGCAAAGGTGCAGATAGATTTTTTTTCTTTTTTTTCTCTCTAAAGAACTGGGATTGATTTTTGTTTTTATAGGTTATCAACTCTCTGTGGGTTATTTAATTCCAAACACATTTGGATTGTAAGCAGTTGCTAAGTACTCAACACTGTTTAATTTCAGTGACGGAATAAGAACCAGTGTTTTCACCCTGATTTGACCATAAGCTAAAGAACTTGGAAATAACTCCTTCAACACACTGAAATTTTGTAAGATTTTAAATGCTGGATAATGATTGTTGGTTTAAAAAGAAAAGATCTATTGATTTCATTGTGTTAAAAAAATATTGATTCTGTTTAAGTAAAAGATAAAATAGAATCCCCCCCCCAAAAAAAAAACTTTATTGGACATTTTATTTCAATCATTTCACCCCAAGCAAGCCAATAATATATAAGGGGTTACTGAGTATTAGAGAATATAAGAAAAAGAACACTATTAAGGAAAGATAAGACAGTAGGTAAAAATTGACATTGTATTTAAATCTTTGAAAATCAAAGTTGATGGAAAACAAGAAGCCAGAAGAGAATTCCACAGGCAAGAAGTGCGATAGAAGAAACTGTTAACATAGTACTTGCGGTTACATCTAACCACTTCAACTGTAAAATGATGAGACCTTTCTACCAATCTACTACTGCGCTTAAGTTCATAGTCTAGTCTAGGTACCATAGAGGAAAGTTCATCAGAACAATTACCATGAAAGTATTTATAAAAAAGGCACAGGGAAATTACATTATGGTGATGAGAAAATGACTGAAGATGAAATATCAGGACAGGGCCAATAGTAAGTGCACCAGATGTGGCAACACTATTCCCAGCAAGAACAGATTGTAGACTTAGGAATATGTAAGATAGATTTTGGTGAGAAAAATTGTCTAGCACAACACAGGGAACCAGTTTTCCTAGCAGCAGACCTAGCAAGTGATTCAATAAATTCTTTCCATTTCATGTCTGCGAGAAATTGCAATGAATCACCATCCTGCAGGTTAGCATCAGCCATACTGATTGATGATAAAAAGGGTTCTCTCGGACAATAAGAGAGCAGTTTTGTTTTGGAGGCACTGAAATTAACAAGCCGTTCCTTGCCCCCAATTAATGGAGAGTAGATCATTTGTTTTTTTTTTTTTTTTTTTTTTTTTTTGTTTTTTTTTTTGCAATTTTTAGATCAGCTACCAATCTGACTCTGACTTACTATTAAGACAGGAATAAATGGTTGTCATCAGCATGAATACTGAGTTGAGAATTGATGCTATCAGGAAGGTCATTGATGAAAATAAGGAACAACTAAGATCCTTTTTGTTCTTTCAGACAATTTCATAATTCTATCCTCCAAGAATGTTTTTATCTTTCTCAGTAAAGAATTGCTCTTGCTACTTCAGTCATCCAGGGAATTTTATTATTTTTTCTTATTTATTTATTTTTATTTTTTTTTTATTTAACCCATAACATAACAAGCCTAGGTCATCAACATTGTTTAGCAAGCTGGGGTCATCAGCTCAATATTTGTTGTGGTAGATTAGTCAAAATAGGTTTTCTGAAACTATATTTCAGCATATTTTGTTCAACAATATTTTGTTTTTTCAACAGTAGTAATAGTAAACAAAATATAATCCATATACTCTTATTCATAAGTGTTTACATTTTTACATTCCAATTACATATGGTATTAAAAAAAAACGGCTATATAATTTCACTAAAATAAAAGGTACAGATTCATCTTTTGTTATCACTAGTCTTTAGCACATGTCATAGTTGTGCTGGTCTTCCTATGTGTCCTACAGACAAAACATTTGCAGTCACAACAGTTTGTGTTGACTTTCTGATTGTTGTTTCTAAGACAATATGAACATGCTGCTGCCCTAATGCTGATAGTGTGCTTTGGGCTGCAATATTGCATGCAACAAATACTCTCGCAGCTTCAATGACTCTGACAACTGGGAGATGGAAACCCTTTCGATTGCTTTCCCTGCATAGCTGTCATTCTTGATATGTTAAGGGTTAAGATGACTCTATAAAGACTGAAATAAATAATATTGTGTACATATTTGGATTATTATGTCGATTACAATGGATGAATGCAACTTCCCAGTTATCCTGAAAGAATTTTCCACCCTTTCTTTTAACCAATTCCGCATGGATGCTTTGTATTGATAGCTCTTTTAAGTTGGCCTAATTAAGAGCAGTATATGTTCAAATCAATCTTTTCCTTCTCTGGAAGTAATTCAAGGTAGAGGACATGTTTCCAACCAAACTGCATAATCAGCAATATCATTTTCTTTGGTTGATTAAAAGCCTTTGATTATGGATGGATCATTTCACATCATTTTCAATGAAGTTTGTTAAAACTAAATGCTCCCTAATTTCATCTAAGGGCAAAATAAAAATATAAAAAAAAACTTTGGGCTACTCAATAATATATTAATATTTAGGATATATTCTGTGACAAACTTTAGTCAATTAATAAACCATTCGATATTTCAATGAAAAGTGCCTATTTTATTCCTCTCTCTCACTCACACACAAACACTATAAAGGTTTATGACCATATCATGCTGAAATCATATGATTACCAAAGCTAAGCAATATTGAGCCTAGTCAGTACCTAGATGAGTGACCACTTGGGAATACCAGGTGCTGCAAGCTTGGATGTGTGGGTGGTGTAATGGATAACAGCTTGGAATTGGAAGCCAGAGAGCAGAGTTCTAATTCCATTTGGGTTGGTTAGTCATTTATGCACAAACACCCTTGGGAAAGGTATGAATCCACCTCTTCTCCCCCAGCTATAGGTTAATTAGAACTTGTCAGTAAATACTTATCTATTTTATTAATGTAAAATTCTTACAACCTAAAAACTATTTTCTGGCTTAAAATTACTTGCAAAAGGTTGAGAATCCAACAAAAAAAATCAATCAACATATAATATAAAAACAATAACAAAGAGTGTTTATCCCCACCCCCGGAAAAATGTCACAAAAAGATATTTCTGGAGGATAAACTTATTAAGGCCAGTAGTCTTTGATAAGTCAAGACATGGACCATTAATAATAAATAAATAAAATGAAATATTCACTTGTCTTGTTTCTATTCTAAGTTTCAAGGAAATTACATCCACTCTTCAGGAAACATCATTGTAAAATTGAATTTTCAGATTTCTGAAAATAAATCTACTCCTGAAGATTGGATGTAATTTCTATGAAACTCAGTAGAGACAAGATAAATAAACATTTTATTTATTATATAAATGTATGCCCAACATTAATCATGAGATCTTTATCTTGTGTTAACAGAAGTTTATTTCTGTGCAAAAAATACTGCTTAGAAATATTTATTGCTCTTTGAGAAAGAAACCCTAGAGATTTTGATTAGACCTAAATACTAGATGAGGTTGGTGCAAAGTCTTATAACAGTAAATTGATATCTTTAACTTGAGTAGCATTGATTTGAAATACCAGTCAGTGGAATATTACACCAACCCACTTAGTCTGCATATCCTGGTCTACATTTACATTGCTTCCACTGCTACTCTCTTTCCTACCAATATCCATTCATTCTTGGTAAACTTTAATTAATATCTATACTATTGTTTTTATGCATGATCATTGGCCTTACACCTTTCTAATTAGTAGTGTAGTATCTGCCTTCTATCTCTGAGCAAGAACTGGTCAATGCTTTCTGATAGAGGAAGCTTCATAATAAGTAAGAAAGAAAAAGAAAAGTTAAGAGCAGGGAGAGGATGCCAAACAGGAATGGTAGAAAGTGCTAAAGCTAGAGAAAAATGAAAAGAAAACTAGGTGAAATGATATATAGGGATGGAGATAAAAAATAGTCTTGCTGGCTGGATATTAAAAAGAAAAAATGAGAGAAAAGAAGGAACACTATCATGGAATGACAGCATTAACTGTTTCCTTATATGGATAAAATTGGCATTCATTGACTGAACAGACAGTGCTACTTTCAGTCAAAATTTATGAAATCTTTCCTTTTTGTAGTTTGTAAAATTCTTTGAGATTCTCTAGCACCAATTCAGAAATTTTGAAGAAGGTTGTTTTCTCTAAACCTACAGATATAAGAATTGTGATTCTTTATGAAAAGATAGAACAAAAAAAAATAAAGACACAGTAGGAAGTTATTATGCATTCCTTGAAACTAATCCAGATTTGTATAACAATATGGATGGGCAATGAAGACTGGAAAAGTAAAGAGGGAATTAGATACAGGCAACAGGTGAAAGAACAGTCCTGAGATAATGGATAATCTTATTTGTATTGGAATGGATAAGGGAAAGAATAAGATACAAGCAAAAGGCGAAAGACCAAAGTCATGAGATAATGGATAATCTTGCTTATCAGCACCCATGGAAAGCTCATGGATTCAGCTTGTATTAAGAAATTGCAATAAAAAAGTTATAAATGTTTTATTTTCTTGCAACTGATCAAAATGTTATTAGAATGCTATTTTAAAAAAAGAATACATTCAGGCATTTAGCCCCAGTTTTCAACTCTCTGTCAATGTTTACAATAATTTCTTTCTGTGGCCAATTTCTTTATCCTATAAGATAATTTTAGATTGAAGTTTGCACTTTGCCAAATATTCATTTATTTATATAAGGAGAAAAATTCAATATTTTTATGACTTAGTCATTTTTATTATGTTTACTATTATTGTAGTTTGATATGTGCAGATAATGCCTATCAACACAAAAAGTGGTATCAGAAAGCCAATATTAAATTTCAACCTAGTTTTTTGTGTTGACTTTCACTAATACCCTTGGGAAAAGCATGGATCCAGCTCTCCTCTTCAACTCCCACCTATGTGTTAAATAGCAGTCTAAACTGATCTTTTTACCCTTGAGTGGCATCAAGGAAAACTTTGAATGCCAAACTATGGAGAAGGTAATGAGAAACTACTATCTTTCCTAGAAAGTTCTATCAATTCATAGATTATAAAAAGAAATCTTGGAAGACTGTTCAGGTAAATAAACCCTGGTCAATTATAAAAATAATGTCTAGTATAACATAATCTTCTTGCTCTATTTTCTCTTTCCAGCTGACCTTATGATTGACAAAATTAAGCTTAGTTATCATCACTTATTAGTAATGTTTTCTCTAATTGATTAAATTAAATTTGACTACTTCTGTATATAGAAGTTTTTTTTTTTTTTTTTTTTTTTTTTGTGTAATGGTCTTTGATTCCCCCCAAATAGATCCTGTTGAGTATTTATTCCTCTCTAAAGTAAAAAAAAAAATCATCCAAGTGTGGTTAAAACATTGTTTTCCAGTTCTCAGATGGCAAATTAAAAAAATATAAGAGTATTTTCTTTTATATTAACTTTGAATTTTTATCTAAGTTTTTTTTCCATGATTTTCTCTATAATAGAAAATAACTATTTATCCTATCAGTAATGAATAAATATTAATGAATAACTGATAATATAGCAAATGATAGACCAGCACTTTGTCTGAATAGAAAAGACTACAGAGTTTTGGAATTTGATTGTTTTTTTTTTTTTTTGTTTTTTAAATTGATGATTTCTAAATTTTATAAAAATTAACTTTTTGCTTTATTATTTACATGCAGACTATTGTCCTCATTTTTTGTTACAATGTTTTGGTTGTTGTACTCTCTGGCCTTCATGAAGTGCTTGTTAATCCATGTAACCTTCAGGGAATTTTGAACAGAATTCTTTATCTTATCAACAGGAGTAGATTGTTTTTGTTCTGCTGACCATGTCCAGTGAAATCTCTTAGTTTTTATTTAATACTGCTCAGTTATTGCTCACTCAGTTTCCACTAAGTCAACACCACCTGACCCAGGAATTGAACTCAAAATTACTTTGTCACCAAATTCATAAACCAACATTTTAATTCACTATTGTCCCATCGGACAATCCTGAGTGGAGAACTTGATGCCTTAAACCTAACCTGCATGCTGATGTTTTTGTTTTACATTTAACCTCCATTTAAACTCCAGATGTTATTGCTATCAAATATAAACCAGCCTGTACCAATCAAAAAGTAGGTTGAGCTTTTAAAAAAATCATCTCTGAATATGGTCAGTAATAGTAGACTGTATATATCTTTACTACCAGCAAAATACTTAATCCATCCCAAGTGCTTGAAAATTCAGTGATGTGTTATTAACATATTAAAAATATTTGATTAGCAAAATGTCTTGATCATTCCTGCTTATTTGTAAATAAAATTTATTTATTTATTTATTTTTTTCAATTGTTTTAGATTCAAACAGTGAGCTTAATGGCTTGGTTGAAGACAAAGAAATTGCTGCCCGGGCTGTGGCACTGGTTGTCAACAGTTCTCGAAAAGGGATTGTACCTTTGTGTGCTGATGTAGCCAATCTTCTAAGAGCCAAAAAAAGGTAAGTCTAATGATTTCCATCCTGTTTTCCATTCTCTTACTCTCCTCTGCCTTTCTTTCTGCTTGTATTTGCATCTGCACTTTTTTTCCTCCTTACACGGCTGAACTAAGTTTATCTCCCTCTGGCTTCATGAAAGCCTGCACATACTTAGATCAGTGTGGCATGCTGATATATGAAAGCAAAGCAAATATGATATCCTACAAAATTAGTCAGTTGGCTAATTATTTAAAAAAAAAATAGCACTTATTTAATATTTTTTTCAACATAATCTTCTTCCTTGTCAATGCACATAACCCAATACTTGAATGTTATACAGTAGAAATCTCTAATAGCTCTATCAGGCTATGAACTTATTGATCTGTGTGTATCAGGGGGTGTAATTCCTTTGTCCCTTGGATTAGTATTGGATGTTTATTTTCAGTTTTATGTCTCGTGCTATTGATTTTCCTTTTGGCTTTTTCTCCAAATCTCACCAATGACCTTCATCAGTTTTCACTATACATTTAGTTTAAAACCTATTGCAGTTTAAAGATATTGGTTTACACAGCTTTAACTACTAAAAATTGAAAGTATATATACAAATATCTAGAAATAGTAGTAGTAATAATGTAACTATTGCTTTTGTGGGCAAGTTAATGTGTAAGTTAGATATTGAAACAACCATCGTCAGAACAATGAACAACATTTCACTGACATTATTTTCTGTATTTAATAATAAAAAAATATTGCACTTTGCCATAACTTAAATATTGGTTCAATAAATGCTTTCTAGACAAAGTAGAAATCTGAAGTTGAAATCATGCCTTTGTGAATTTTTTTCTGTTCAATCTTGAGATATAAACATTAACATGGAATTTGAGTTATTATGCAAAGAGCAACATAGTTTTTAAGTCAAGATGTTGTGTGAAAAAAAAAGTGTTCTTTTCAACATCTAAATTCCAGGGAAGATCATTGTGACTTGTATTTAAATTTTATTTTTAAATCATTCTTCTTACATTTGTTGTGTTTTTTCATGGGTTTTTGCAAATGACTTTGTTCCATTAGAAACAATTTCTATGTCATTTTCATTGCTTGGCCAATACCTTGCTTTTTTGAGTGTCTTCACTTGTGTAAGGCAATCCTCATTGGGTACTCAACACCAGTGGCATGCTGAGGTCTTAGTCCAAGGTGGGGCAAGAGCCTGACTTGGAGCCCCCTACCACAACCAATGGGCAATAAGCCAGGATGGATCAAATACTAAATTTTTAGAATTCAAATACTTCTCACGATTATTGGCGCAATATAATTGGAAATATAAAAACAAATACTTCTGAAACTAGGCAAAAATATAAATGCTCTGAAAAATATTTAAATACAATTCAAATACATTTTTATTTGATCCATGGCACAAGAACTGTGCATTGACAAAACCTGAATTATAAGATGCCAAAACTAGAGCAATTCATTTTATCTATTTGAATTTGTAAAGCCACGACATATGACCAGGCTTGGTGATCAAAGATTTGTCCATAACATCATCCACAGTTATGTTCATTCTTTATTTTCAATGCTTAATAAAGCCAAATTACTGAGATGCTTCTGACCCATTGTGCATCGGATTTTAGTTTGCTGAAAGAGTGCTCACAGGACGCCAAAAAGACAGCAACAGCCAGCAGTATGCACAATGCTATTTGTAAATTGGAGAACACATTGTTGCCATAAGATATTGAGAAGTTGAAAAGATATATTGAGGTTTTTGGTTTAAGGAAGGCTCTGCCTTTTCTTTTTTTGTATTAACATTTGACAGTCTGTAATTTTCTATTCCATCAAAATCACCTTCATATGCTGCAGCAGCTACTTTGTATTTTTCTATCATGTCTTCTTTTGAGTCAATAAGGCTTTCAATATTGAAGAGGAACTCAAATTGCTCATGTAACTGACTCAATCTTGTAAATCAATCTTTCAGTTCTGTATTCAGCCTGCCCAGTACTGCCTTCAAGGTAACATCCATTTCTTCCATCACATTTAAAAGCTCATCTTTTGTCTCCTCTCCAGCTATTCTTTATGATGATGCACCATTCTCTGTTCACCAATATCAATACCCCATTCTAAGCATTTGCAATTGAATTTTTACTGAAAGAAAATTCCATTCACTTATAACAGATTGGTGCAGACCTTAAATGATTGCTTGAACTACATTGAAGTTCATTCTAAGGCACTGAAGTTTCTTCTATACTCAGTCAATGGAAGTCAGGACATCGTCCAAGAATGGCAGTATAGTTAGAAAGGTGAAAGTTTGCATGTTGTGCAGCTAGCATCGTTTCTTGTGTCATCTGATACTGAAGTGTCACTTGCTATGTCATCCAATGCTATTCACATTGTAAACAATGGGAATAGCATTGTGCCTAGCTCTCCATCTTGTATCAGGGAACAGCTTAACAGATGTCCCTAGTATCTCCTTCAATTTCTCCCACTCCATTGTTGAGCTGGAGAAAAATTGTACAATGAATCAAGAACTCCAAAAAATAATATAACAAGCACATGTTCTGATGCTGCAAGCACTCCTACAAGATTCAAAGTATGGTTGTCACAATTCACAAAGATTGCCTTCAGATATCTCTGTGGTATGCATTTCTGGATACCAGACACCTTCCCAACCATTGTTGCAGCATTGTCATATGTCTGTCCATGACAGTCGTTCAAATGAAGACCATCCCATTCAAATTTTGAAGTAATTTCTTCTGTAACATTCTCTGTATCTTTTCATGAATTTTAATAAAATCAATGAACACTTTCCTGACTACAGCAGTTTTAGATTCATTGTCAACATCGACAAAGCTGAGAATTTCAGATATTAGTTTGTTGTGAGAAACATCAGGAAGTTGTGTTGAACATAATCCCATGGTATCTGCTTCTTTTGATTCTCTGTAGTATAGACTGATATACTTTGTTGTCCAGTTGCTCAATGAACTCATTCTGTATCTTGCTAGACAAAAATGTTGCAGAATGTGGATGCAACTTGACAATCCAAGTGACACTGCAACAGAGGGTCATACTTGCTAAGTAGCTTAACGAGTGCAAGAAAATTATTGGGATTATTACTTGATGCAATGACTTCTCAGTGTCCACGAAATGCCAGATGTTGAGTTGCCAAAAACTTGATACAATCCACAAAACACATGAGCAGATGCTTCTGTTCCTTCATATGCTTCAGTGTTACTCTTGTCATTTGTAGGCCTTTTTGATATGTGTCTCTCAATGTCTTTCCATGCAAGAAATGACACATGGTGATGAGTGCCCTGTTCATGTTCTGGTATTCTATCATTGCATTTTTTTCATTTTCAAAATTCACAAGATTTTTCAATTACTGTGTTTTGGTTGACTGGGCTTATTGAAAACAATAAACAACAAAAACAATACACTGTATCATTTTTTAATAGACTACAACAACCAATTATGTCGAATTGTAGACCCATCCTGTCGTTTTTTTTTAAACCTATAATTTTTTGAAGTTGCAGTTGACACCCACATGTGTTTTTTTTTTTTTTTTTTCCCAACTTCTCATCGCTTCTTCAACATGTCAGCTCTAAATAATTTCCTGATCTTTTGTAACTTTGAAAGGGGTGTCTTTTTTTTTTTTTTTTTTTTTTTTTTTGAAAAGCTTTAGCACCCATCTTCACCAGTTGTACTTGTAGTTCATCAGAAATTTGTGATTTATTGCAATTTACATAAAAATTTAAGCAACTTACATATTTCTTGGTTAATACTGCATATTTAGTTTTATCATATTGTGCATCTTCATCAACGAAATGAAGATGAAGGCTCATTGGAAGCGTCCAATAAAACTGTTTGCTTTGCCTTCAATGGTAGAGACAGTGGTGCTAAAGTTGTTGATGCTGGCAGCACTGGTGTGAAGATGACGATTACTCCATTGATCCTGGTGCTGTGTCTGTGTAGTCAGAGCCAGTGGCAAGAACAAGGGGAGGGGACAACAACAACATGATTGTCACCATCTCCATCTGGACATGGTATTTTTAGAAACTACTTCATAACTTGACTGGATCTCTGTAGATCTTTGCATTCTCTTTTCCTATGATTTCTTTCTTCCGCATCAGATTCTTTCTTCTTTTGTTGCTGATATCCCTCCATTTTTAAAATTTCTACCTTTTAAATAAAAATTGAAATAAAAGTATATCTGTCCCCCTCAGTTATATAAAGATTTTGAGATTAGTTTGTCTCATACAGACATTTATTGTCAATCAAATGACAGCCTTAGTGCGATAATGCCATGACACTGTTCCCCTGTAAATAACACCATAAGGGAGCCAGTATCAGAATCTATCCTAACTTAACAGCTGAATACATATATACATTCCAATAAAGCATTTTTCCTTGTATCATCAGTGGGAGTGCATAATTTTTTCATAATAAACTTCAAAGACTGTCATTGAGTTTGTCAGCGTATTATAATCTTATAATATGATTGCAGTGAAGGCTACAAAAAAAACACTCTGCAAAGCTTTTGTCATCATTAACGACAACCAAAAATGTGCCATAAAACTTTTTTTTGAGTCTTTTCACATCAAAATGCTATATATGGGAATATACAACATGTTATATCTGACACTGGTTATTATGTCTAAACCTTTTACATATACATTGAAATGTTATGATCTACCAATTGAGGTGAGGAGAAAAATTGTCATTATCATTTTACAAAAAAAAAACAGGAATATATCTTAAAACGTTAATATGGATTAGTTTTCAAGGGAAAACAGAATTAAACAACTTTTTTTTTTCTTTAACACATGCACTTCCATCCACACTGCATATGATCAAAGAACTATTGAGTGTCATTGGCAAAATAATTCATTACATGCTGTTAATGAAATAAGTATCTGCAGGCAGTCATAAAAAGGTTATTAAGGTAAATAAAAATGAGGGAATTTTAGGTCCTCTTTCAACACTTTTTAAATTAACTTCCCAACATTTTTGCCAATAAATGTGTTAAAATTTGGTCT